ATTTTTTCCCCCATTTTGTCTCTCATAGTTGAGGTATACCTATGATGAAAATTACAGGCCTCTCTCATCTTTTTAAGTGGGAGAACTTGCACAATTGGTGGCTGACTAAATACTTTTTTGCCCCACTGTAGTAAATAAGATGGTAAAATCGGGTGCGGTCACGCGAAGCCTCCCTTAATGACCACACCACTCAACAAATTTTCTGGTCCCAATTGTGGTTGTAAATCAAGGACTAACCATATTCTTTTAGATTTACAGCTGATGCTGAAGAGGTTTCCAAGAGGTGCAAGCATCATTTCAGCATTCTCAGCAAAAATACAATTAATGTGCTAAATTGGGTTTACACCATTCTTACATATTTCTTTTGAACCTACGGATGCTGGAAGCCAGAGGAGGCTGATGAATGCATGTTGAACCAAAAGAGGAGAGGTCGTCTCGCGCACATATCTTCACATTTAACTCAGAAGCAAAAAACAGTCTGGTTTACATGAATCTTGAAGCACTAACTACCCTTAAAGGAATCTAATGCTTTATCATTTCACACAGAAGGTGTTTACATGGCAAATATAAAATATAATTGAAATATATTTTGTTATTCTGTTAAAATAGACTTAATTATCCACAAATCATAATTTCTGTTGAGCAAATGGAGAAAATCCTCTCTCTCCAGTTCAGCTCTGGGATCAACATCAGACAGCACCACAGGACAATGTTTTAAAACAAGCAGATTATTAGTGTCATCTGGTAAACCAAGATGAAGAGTATGCCTACCCCTTAAGTATAAAATATTGTCTAGATTTTACTAATACTGATAATACAATGTTGTAATGATACAAAATAGCTATTTTAAAGTGCACTTTTAAGGAAAAAGAAGTTAATCTCATCGTCTTGAAATGCCATTTTAAAGCTTCAGCACTGGAGTGTTCATTGATTTGGCCCCAAAGAGGATTACGTTGAGAGTTCAAAAATTCCATTCTATTTTCCTTCTCAATTTTGCTGATACTTGTTGTTTCTTGAATACAATATACCTTCAACTTCAACCACTGAAGTCTTTTTCTTTTAGATTTACAGCTGATGCTGAAGAGGTTTCCAAGAGGTTCTTGAGGTAGGATGATTTCCTTCTTCTTTTTTTCTTTCCAGTTCTGATGCATACAAATTCATACAGATTCTCCAGCAACAGGAAATGGCTCCAAAGCCTTTTCTGGATTTTTCCAGTTGTGGAAGTTCTCTTGATACCATTCAACTAGGATTTAAAAAAAAAGAAACAATTTACAGCATAAACACCCTTCTAAGGCAAATCTATGGAAGTTTCAATTAAAAAATTAAATGAAACTAGTCACTAGTAACCTACTTACAACCTTGCAACCTTCACTATCACTAACAACCTACTTACCACACTTACAACCTACAAGGGCTCTCTGTATACTAAAAACTATTCCAACAATTTTCAGTTTGAAGCAGTTTCTCATCTAATGATGGGAAAAAATATCATGCTATAAAATCATGGCTGTACCTTATTTACCAGGAGTGCCCATTGCACCCACTCAGCAGCTGCTGGCAACTCCATAATCAAATATGCCTTTGCCTGGGATCAGCCTACAGCTGCAGAAGCAGCCACACTATCCCAGAAAAAGACGGAACTGTTTTCAGGAGTTGCCAACAGCTGGTACGGACGTGTCCACATACCCACGCCCTGCTCACTTTCAGTCCCAAACACTCCACATCCCTAGTACTTACTGGGCAGGAAAGGTTCGTTTTCTGGATAATTATCTGGGATTACAATGGGATGGGAGTCATCTTACATTCTGCAAAGATTAGAAGTGTTGAAAGCAAAGGAATTAGCATCAGGTGCAAATCACCGCAGCCATTTGCTATGGAGGCTAATTCCAAAAGTGGGATGCCTTGGAAGTTCAGCTTCTACTTAAAAGGGGCTGCTTCTCTGTTGAATGTAATCTTTTTGTAATTTCCAGGGTTGCTTTTAAGAGGTGGCAAGCCTAGATGGACTAGCTGTGGAAAATGGAAACAACAAGGATTTGTCTTTGTTTACAATTATTTTTCTGTTGGTTTCTCCTGGGGGGTGGGGGAGGGCTTATTTAAATAATGGGCCACGTTCCATTCAGATAAATACAGTAATATGTACTCCTACCCTAGGTAATGCCCCTTTTTGGAATATTTTGGTTCTCTAGAAAAACAACACAAAATTTTCAGTACCTTAAAGTTCAAAAACATTTTGTGGAGAAAATAAAAATTTTTAAGTTTCAATGGGTATTCTTCTCCACAAAAGTTT